AATAAACCAAGAGAGGATAATACTAATCAAAAGAAACTAAATGGAAATGAATGAAGAACAAAATGCAAGAATAAGCGAAAAAACTAAAGTAAATATAGAGGAATAAACTGATATGGCAAGAACGTTCGAGCAATAATTAATACAGAGGACTGTATGGCAAGAATAAACAGACACTATTTCGAGCTAAAAGGTAAAATAATATTGTTGAAGTGCCATGGGTTTGTTGAGACCACATCTAATACTGAGAATAAATATATCTTACAGACCATAACAGTAAATAACTTATTACTTATTTATGTTTTTAATTAGATTTGATATATTTATTTCTTCAATATTATTTTCCATGTTAGTGTTAATGTGATGAGGCTGATGACTCCATGACACTTTCAATTTGGCTCATTAGGATTTAAGAACCAGATTTGATCTTTGTAATTTCTGTCCAGTAAAACTATTAATCTATAATCAATAGACAGGTCTATATAAAGATATAATCAATGTTTCTGTCTCATATTTCTATGGCATTAAAGGACCTGGAACTTTTGTTTTTCCACTGAAAGCTCTGGTTTGCACACTAAATGCCATGTGGGTGAAATTTTATGGATGATACTCTGATGTCTCATTCTCCTGAAGGCAGCACAGAGCTGCACCAACAGGAACTGACAGAAACAATGAAGAGAAGAAGAGTTATGATTAATGTAGTTACGGTTCTATCCATGTTTTCATGTTGCAGAGCTCAGTCGGTTTGCAAATAGTTCAAAGTTTAAACTGGCATGTTGAACATCTTTTATCTGATCATTTTGTGGAATATTTAACAACTAGAAAATGGCACAAAATAAGAATATTTTTTCCACTCTGATTGGCTGCTGATAGGCCTACCAATTTTAAGTTGAATGTCCATTACATTTTTCTTAGACACCTGTAAAAATAATTTCTATTCCCATGGCTTTTTTGTTCTCTGGGAAATTATTTTTGATGATAAATACAAAAACAACCATGAAAATCAAAACATCAACAATAGTGATAGTAATATTAACAGTAAAATAATATTCAGTGCAAGGTAGAATTCAGTTTCTTATATGGGGGGCAGTAAGGGACCTGGATAGTGGATAGGGGGGCGCTGGTCCAGAAAAGGTTGAGAAACACTGGATTGGGACAAATAATACTCAACAGCCCGACAGGCGCCGCCTTTTTTCAGCAGGAACAGGGAAGATAGTTAAAATTGATGGGAAGATGGATGGAGCCAAATACAGAACCATTATGGAAGAAAACCTGTTGCAGTCTGCAAAAGACCTGAGACTGGGATGGAGATTTATCTTCCAATAAGACAATGATCCCAAACATAAGGCAAAATCTACAATGGAGAGGTTCCCAAATAAACGTATCCAGGTGTAAGAATGGCCAAGTCGAAGTCCAGACCTGAATCCAATCGAGAGCCTGTGGAAAGAGCTGAAAACTGCTGTTCACAAGCGCTCTCCATCCATCCAAATCCTCTTATTGTACTGGCAGACGATTTTGTTAAATAGTTTTATGTGAAAAATATAGTTTAATTATTGTTATTTTAGAAATCTTAAGCAGTATGACTATCAAAGTTGTTTTATCCAACGCAAAGCTGCAGTACCGCATATGTAGTGGTCAGAGTTTTTTAAAAATCATATCACTCACCAGCAGTCTTGCTATCCTTCTAAAAGATTTTTTACTTGGTAAAGGATGACTTCAAATTTAAAATGTATAAAAAATAGAAGACGGGTCTGTACGTTTCCTTATGTTTATCTACATTTTGATTATGGGTGGAACCTTTGCTATCTCTACATGATTTGGAAAGATTCTAGAGAAATTATTACATCTCTGCTTTAGGTTAGGTAATGAAACGATGTCAGACTTATATAGTGCTTTTCAGGACCCTCAAACACACATCCACACACATTCACACTCTGATGGAAAGCTGCTGGATCGTAGCAACAACTTCAGTCTGAGAGAAACTGTCAAACGTTAACCATCCTTCCATTCCTCCATAACTGGCATATTTTTGGACGTTTTGGTGGGTATGGTTACTCCCTGTCCCTTGTGGGCAAACTTGGTAAGTTGAAAGGTTATTATCTTGCAGTGGTGGGCTTGCATCAATATCCTCTACAGCCAGCCTGGAAATACATCGCTGCTTCCAGACCTGTAGCAGTGCTAGCAGAGGTTTTTTCCCTGCTGCTGGCATGCGAGGCACCTTGGTATCTTTTGTGATGCAAATTTGTTTTGAAACAGAGTAGGTCCTCTCATTAATTTTGGATCTCATGTACCTTGATATTTCTGCAGAAGGCCTCAAACAATGAACAGCTGCACCCTCAAATTGTAAAATAGCATAAGCCATGTGATGGGCAGCAAGTTGCAATTTATGCATTTATTTTTGTTGATTTGTGCAACCTCAGTTTTGAGATCTTTGAGCAAAACTATATCTGCGTTGATTTCTTTCAGGTCTGACATCACATCTGGGGGAACTGCAGGAACATTTTGGTGTCCCCTATGTCTCCTTTCATTATTTGTGTCACTGGACAGAAATGCATGACACCAGTGGACCTATGTGTTGTGTTCCTCTTCTTATCCTGTCTCTTTATCATTAGGTCAGACAATATTCAGAACTTCAAGGAGCAGCCCATCTGAGGTACTTGGTTTCAAAAAGTAAGGCTGGAGATCACTCTTTATCACACTGAAGGCTTGTGAGAAGAGCATACAAACTCATCAGTTTTTGCCAAAGCTGATGAACTTTGGTAAAAATGAAACATAACAAAAAAACAACAAAACTCATCAGTTTTACCAAAAAAAAGCTGATGAGCTTTTACTGCGATTACCAAAGAAGTTCACACTTCCACCGCCTCCAACTTCGCAGGCATAGGATCAGACACAGCTCCATTTTCTGGCAGAACCCTAGAACCCCTGTTAGCAAGGCTAACATTTTAAGAAGCAGAGAAGGATTACGGTTCTGTTCCATATTCAATATGAGGTATAAAAACCCTTGTTAGCTTGGATGTTTTCATCACCTCTCTGTCGCACTCTGCTTTCTCATTCCTGCACTCCGCTGTCACACTTTCTGTTGTCCGCCATAGTGAGAAAGTATTCACCGCTCCTCCCCAAAGTGTAAGATGCATTGAACTTGGATCAATAACAATCAAGCACTCATGACGGACATTTCCAAGAACAAATCAGACCGTTTTTCAGAAACACAGGAAGAAACGATGTGAAATTCATCTAGCACTTATCAGTAAATATGGCAGAATCCATCATAGATGTTTGAACTGAAAATCTGTCACTTCACTTCAAGCACTTGAATGTTAAAATGTACTTGAGGTAAGACCTCAAAGATCTTTATAACTACGTGTTATTTTGTGAGTAGACACAACTACTTATTAAAATGTTTGCATCAGACGAAAGGTCGATGGTAGCTACACTTAATCATCTGGGATTGATTTTAATTGTTAAACTGAAACCAAGGCAGGCATATCTAAACATATTTGCAATTCTCTGATATGATTTAGTCCCTGCAAACATGACAAAAGTCAAAACATTCAGCATGACACAAATATGGGTGCAGCGCATTCGAGTGAATGCACCAGGTCGTTATATCTCTACCTGTGTTTACAGAGCTCAAGTTGAGTTGCTGTTATTTCTGTGAGCAGAATTCCAACCCAACACCCAGTACTTTATTAAAATTAATAGACCTAAAATGTTCCAGGATTCAGCAAGAAATTTGCTGAACATTAATGTCCTAAAAGCAGTGGTAAGAGTGCAGCTAACTTTTTAACCAAAACAATGTCTCTGTGTTGTAGCATTTGCCATCAAAACAGTCCCGGCCAGGTAATTCTGAAGTATTACTGAAGTGTCTGGTATCTGTATGTGACAGCTGTCCCTGCTGTTCTTCTGTTTATCCTTAAAGTTAGTTTACATATTAAGTAGCAAATAGTTTAGATTTAAATTTTTGATGAAAATTATTGTCATTAGCTTGACTCTTTAACTATTTGCAGTGTACACATTTAGTTAACTTTGTCAGTTTGCTATATTTTGGTTATATGCAACAGATTAATTTCTTGTTTTGAGTTACCAGTTTCCTTTGGAGCTGCTGGAGTCACTCAGAAGAGCTCCAGCTGTTTGCTTTTCCTTATATGGCTGGCAAACCTCCTCAGCGGGTCATCCATTTGTTTTCCATGGGGAAGGGACATTTGGTTCTTTAGTTTAATTTGACTATTCCTTTAGTGTTTCTTCTTTTTTCGTAGTTAGTTCAGTTACAATGGTATTTGTTTAATTTAAAAATGACATAGTATTGTTTTGGCCAGTATTTGGTTGCTAATTAAGTCTTTGTGTGTTTAATTACCCCATGTGTGTCTCAGTGGTCTGATCAGCCACTATTTAAGTTCCCCTCATGTCTTGCTTGTGAGGTCAGTTTGTGCTTAAGTTCTTTGTCTCATAACCTGAGTTGCAGTCTGTTACAGTGTGTTGATCTCTGTTTTGGGCCCAATTTACTATTTTTGAACTATTTTTGACATTTTGTAATAAATTAAGAATATTTTTGGAAACCATTCAGTGTCTCTATGGCTGGTCTTTGTAATTCCCTCAAACTTGCAATAACATTTTTAACTTGTGGTGGGGTCTGGCATATGGAGCTAGAAAGAGAGAGACGGAGAGAGAATGATTTTTTTTTAAAGACCATTCAACATCTTTTGTGTTTGCTTACAAGATAATTCTTCAGAACACTGCCTTTTACTTACTTTTCCTCTTTTCAATGTTGTAGGCTCCATCGGTATTCTAAATCAGAGACAAAATGGCAGAAGATGGAGGCAGAAGGGATATTAGGACATGGTTTACACTTCTTGCTGCTCTGCAGGTTTCCAGCATTGGAGCAGGTAAGAACAACCGAGCTTACTAAGGAGGGAGTAAGTTAGTTGATGTTATGCACCTGCCTTAGCCAGAAGTGAGAAGTTGAGCAGCTACAACCTTTCCTCTGTTTACATCCCCTAGAATTATGTGCAGTTCTGGATTGGTGTTCAGTGAAACTAGTGTGAAACTAGTGAACATTCTATTGGATACATTTCCTATATGTATCCAATAGAACACAGGTGTCAAACTCCAGTCCTGGAGGGCCTCTGTCCTGCAACTTTTAGATGTGCCTCTGCTGCACCACACCTGAATAGAATAATTGGGTCATTAGCAAGGCTTTGGAGAACTTATCTATACAAGAAGGAGGTAATGAAGCCATTTCATTCCAGTGTTTTGTACCTGTGGCATATCTAAAACTGCAGGACAGCAGAGGACTGGAGTTTGACACCCCTGCAGTAGAATGTTGTACAATATATTTCAAGGGGTATATATTGAAAATGATTTATTGCCTAGCCTTAGTCTCTACATGATTTTAGCAGGTGGAAAAGTTTTGAAAATATTAGTACTGTCATTTTTCTACATGACGAGGACCTGTGATTTTAACAGGGATGTGTAAACTTTGAGATCCACTGTGAGGAATTGCAACAAATCCCAATGGTAAGTTGTATACAGCTCTAGAAGCCAAATTGTTCCTCTGTTCCCTTTCCTCTAGTATGCCCAGATAAAGAGTTGGGACTTCGACTATGGATGCCAGGACATAGTGAAGACCACCGTGTTACAATTGGTTTTGGACAGAAAATCCTTCTTACAACTTCAGCTACAGTTCACTCAATTGAGATTCTGAATGGAGGTATGCTAGATGAATCCAACCTTGCTTCCTCATTCCTTATAGTGAAATAAATTTGACTTGGTTTTTGTCTGGTAATTTATAAACCTTAAAGCTCATAACTCAAGATTAAATTGGAAACAAAGATAAATACTGAGACTTTTCACACAGGTTCCAGAAAGACTTTCCATCTTTTCAAAAGGATGCAACAATGCAGATGTAGTTCAGGATAGCACATGGGTAGAGTGAGGCAAATCATTCATATCACCAACTGATGAGGTTGACCAGTGATGGGAGAAATATTCCAAAAGCTTTCAGATGTTCATAGACAAATAATGCTTTGCATCTTTATATACAAGCAAAGTCATTAATTAGTAAAACTGTGTGTACAAGACTGTTGGCTAAGTTTTTCTATTCTTTTTTTTTATATTACTGAGGCAGAAATGAAAGTACGTACAAAATAACTATGATGGAGCTTTAAGGTCGAAGGACATGTTAGATTGGCAAGACTGTGAGTGTGATGATGATGATGATGATGATGATGACCAAATGGAAAGAGCAAGAAGACGCCACTATTTTTATGAAAAAAAACAAACAAACAAAAAAAAACTTCTAAATTGACTTACAACCCTTGGAATGCAAACACAAACATTTTGACTTTGTAAAGTATAACTAATGTACTGTTTTTTTTTATTAATGAAACTGTCATTAATAGTAACAACAAATATACCATTTATTATATGAACAAATCAATGAAAACCACTGTATTTAACATTTATTATTTATGG